CCCCGATGACTGATGCATCGCGTGCAGGACGACAGCGACGATGATCGATGATCGTTCGCGCAGGCCTGCCTCTCCCAGACGTCAAGTGGGAGTTTCCGAAAATTAGGGGTACCTTATTTTGGGGGTCCTTATTATAAGGGGGTACGGTGCTAGGGTTCCCTATTTTTTGAAGCTCCCAAGTCACGGAGTCAAGTCTTAGGGCTTGCATCCATCCCGACACAGATCTTGTCAAGAAAGTGGATAAAAGGGCAGATCCAGCTGGGTTAATTAGGGCCAGCCCACATTGACATGTTGTGCTTGTGTTTTGAGGTGTGGGGAGCGGGGGCGGTGAATTATTTGCGGAAGCCTCCGCCATCTGAATCTGTTTCCTAAGGCGTGAATGGTCCAGGCCGACCAGTCGTCCCAAATCTTCTGAGACTTCGAGAGTGCCGGCAGGATACAAAGCCCAGTGAGACTGGAAAGGGCACCGGAACGTAGCATAGCAGTAAAATATCGTAAATTATCGAATGGACTAGAACGTACAAGAATGTTTTCATGATATGCTGTAGTGTTCTGTAATAACAGAAAAGTTTTAAGCTACAACAGACTCGAGTCTATTACGGAGCGGCCTTCATAAGCTAGACGCCAATGCTCAGACCTTGAATATGGGGACCCTGGTACATGGCTTTCATGTAAGTTTTGAAACTCCCGTACATGTTTTGAGGCTGTGTAATTAGGGTTTAGCTGGGTTTAGGTTTTTGGGCCAGAACCGGGGGCAGAAGGCTTGTGGCTCAAATCTCACTAAACCTTGGCCGCTGCACTGCACAGCTTCAACCTCGAAATTACCTCCAGCCAAAGCATGGATGTTGCAGACCCAGCAAATCCGCAGACCCTCTTACGGCGACTATTGAAAAACCCTAAACCTCACCATGGTAGCTGAGGCTCACTCCTGATTGTTGCCAGCGCATGACTTTGCCTATATGGGAGTTTCCGAAAATAAGGGGGTACCTTATGTTGGGGGCCCTTATAATAAGGCATAAGGATCCTACTATTTTTTTTAGGGTACTATATTAGGGTCCCCTATTTTCGGAACCCTCCATGTATTGAGATCTGTCCTTCCACGGGCCTTCCTGCCGGCTTCTAACAAGGAGCCTGACTCACCTGATCGATTTCAGCCAGAGTGATTGGAGGGGGCCCCCCAAGCTTATGAGACCCAGGGATCCGAAAAAGACAGTTGGTGGAGGGCTTAGTGTTTGAGCATAATTCGAACAGGATTGCGGTGTATACTTATACTTAAGTGATGGTATCGTCGAAATAAACAAGTCTAAGGAATGGCACAGGTACTTTTATCAGGTCGCTACATATAGGACCACGATGACCAAATGGCATGGTTTGTTGTGGGTCTCTTTTCACCCTACATGGGCTTCTTTTAGATTCTTGGCTGAGGGCCTCCCTCCAACATCTCGGTAATATGCCGCCAAAATGTCCGAGCCCGCCGACCGCGACCCTGGAACACTAAAGCAACGAAAGCCACTGCGATCAACCGCAAACCCTGAAGCACAGACAACCAAGACAACCTCGAAACCTGCCAGCACTCCTAACACTCCTAAACTGCAAAGCCCTACTCTACAAAAGGAGCCAAATCTAGAACAGAGGAAGTGCCCCCAAACCTAAAGCCTACGATCGCGAACCTTTTTTCTTGGTATCATAGAGGATCTGCTGGGAGAGCAAGTTGCCGGAGACTGCGCTATCTTGCAGTACGTAGGTTTTAGGGCTCTGGGTTTAGGGTTTAGGGTGAAAAGGGTTCAACTCGCTTAGGGTTCAGGGCGTAATATCGGGGCCTTAATATAATTACCTAGAGTACTTGCGGGGTTCCTTATTATAGTTATAGTACTGTAATGTGGGGCCCAAAACCCTGTTCTATTTTTTAAGACCCCTACAGGATCAGTTTAGGAGTCAAGGGTTCGCAGTTTGGGGACGTGGTTTCTGATAAGAAATTACAGTATGGAGGTTGGTTTAAGATTCACAGGCTATTTTTGATTCGTCGGTTTCGACGCACACGTTGCATACACGTCTCGGGTTTTTCTGGGGTTCTCTTGCCTAAACCGAAACCCTAGACCCTAAAAGTGTTTTTGCCACTGGAAAGAATCGTCATGTCCTGTAGTTGAGACAGAGACCTCGTCTGGCGGGGACCAAGTTGCGAGTGCGTAAAACCCCAAATACCATCGTATACTCCTGGAGTCCAGGCTAGAACGGCTAGAAGACCCATCGGGATCGGACCCATGGGCCCGGATCTAGGGTTTAGGGTTTAGGGTTTAGGTTCTTTCTGCTTGTGTGTGGGGCTCCAATGTAGCCGAAAGTAGATACTACTTCTCTTAGGTTGGGGATGCGTGATATAGGATTGTCCTGTCCCTGCGCTTGAGTGTGGGGCTGGTTTTGAAGCCAATGTGTTTTGGAGGACGATAGTGCTGGAGCCAATGAGCTTTGGGTGGTGACCGATGCGTGTACTGAGCCCTCGCCTGCTTTGTCGAGTGTGAGTGCTAAAAAAGATACTACTTATAGACTTTACACCCCAGACTAGGTACTGTTTGTATACCTGGCGCTTTGGGGTACTGGTTTCAGGACAGCAAAATCTGTACCAGGCTCTCTTCTTCAGAGCATTCCAGACTACACCAGAGTTCTAAAACACGACTTCAGAAGGATGAGCTGAAGAACAGATGTGGTTTAGGGTGTGTCTGGGTTCCTAAGCTCTCCCCAGTACTATCATCACCCTAAACCCTAAACCCTGAACCGTGTTAGATGTATTTAGCTTTTTGTTCTGGGTTCCCAGTAGAAACCTGATGAATCGGAGACAGGAGTCCATCTTTGCTTGCAGGGCTGCCGGGGAACTACGGGTCTCCAGAAGGGGGTTTTAATAGATATTAAGGATGAGGATTTAAGGGATGTTATAGTATAGAAATAATAAGAAACAAGAAACCCTAAAGAGTAGGTTTGGGTAATCGTTCAAGTTCCCATACTACCAGGAGTTTAGATCTGTTCGAGCTGAGAGTTTTGAAATTTGCAATCTGTCGCATGTTGTCTTGACACCGCCGAAACCTCTATTTACCCTACGTACATGTTCAATTTTGCAGAATGGCGTCACTAAGGGAGGCTCGACTGGAGTACCTACGATCCTGAGAGACTCTTGATTTCCTATCATGGTTTAAGTCATGAGGGGGTTGTGAGTGGATAGCTTCCGGCAGCAGCGATTGCTCTCGATCGAGTTAGTGGGCAGAAACCGATTGCCTATACACGGAGGGTCCAGTCCTGTTTAGTTTGTGTTCGATCCTGAGTTGAGTACTTAAAGCATCCTACGATTCCAGAACCTTTACGCCTGAATCCATACAGGTGCGTTGTGCGCAAAGGATGCTGGCTGGACCCTATAGGGACACTCAATCACGGCCCATCGATTGAAGCACGGATGCTCTTTTTCTGGGAGCTCTCACGTGCAAACACCACTACAAGCCGGTGTGCGTTGGGGGGGTTGTCATGACTAAGATTACGATCGTGTAGCCGAGTCCTTGGATATGTTCGAGGGCTTCAGGATTTGTCAAATTGTTAAAGTTTGAGATGCCGCACTATCGAAGCCAAGCTGTTCCTGAAGTCTTATATAATTTGTTCTCTCTCTCTCTCTCGCTATCTCTCTCTCCTTTCCTCTCTCTCTCGCGCGCCCTCGGAAGCACACCTTGAAGCAATGCTTTGGGAAGACATCCGCGGACAGCCCAGCCCGAAACCGCAAACTCTACCCATCTCTAACCTACACTTCCGCAACCCGAAATGCTCTGCAACTGAACCCCTCAATGAGCTCCCAAGCTTCTTGTCATGCTCAGCATGTACAGTCCGTCCGTCCTCCTGTGTTCAAAGGACATTGGGGGGCCCGTTAGTTCTCCTGAAATCAGCGATGCAAGCGTGATGTCGCCCCAGACCATTATGACTACGGAACATGCTCAGACTACTGTCTGGAGATGGTGCGATGTCTAGTCTAAGTTTAATGGGTCATTTAGTCGTAGCTACTGTATCCCGAGCTGTCCAGGTGCCCCTTTTGTGAAGAAATTGGCTTGAGGCGCTGGCCCCAGAAACCGTGACTAGCCTGGCCCTTCATCTCTGTGTCTTGCTGTTGCCTCTGCTAGGTTCCCCAGTAGTACCCTTTTGCCCTTTTTCTTTTTGGGTTCCATTATTAAAACCAAATAGTAGGAAAAAGGGTACCCTTATGATTTAATGTCTACTTCAGACGTGCCTGCGAACATCCAAGTAAGTACGATTGGCATCTGCAGGCGGAGGGTTGACGACTGCTTGGGTACTTAACGAAAATGCAGAGCGAATGTGTTTAGATCACCCTAAACCCTAAACCCTTATAAGCTTGGGGCGCATGTACCTTACAGGAAGAGTTTGGCGGGCGGTGCGTCAAAATGACCGGAAGTGGAGGGGTTTTGAGATGAAGGGTCTGCGTGCTGGAGAAGACGGAGGGTTACCCTACACCCTAAACCCTAATACCTAAACGATTCAGGGTTTAGGGTTTAGGCAAAAATCCCTAAACCGCGCACCTACACCCAAACATGTGCTCCCGAGCCACACCTCCAAGCCATGGACCGTGAAACAAATATCAGTCCTAGAGTGGAACCCCCAACCCTGAGGAGCAGCGTGGCGATGAAGGGATTAAGGCTTGTAACTTATCACTTATCAGGTCTTTAGGTTTTTTGGGTGGTATAGGGTTGTATAGGGTTTGAGGTTCAACTTGCCCACATTTTTGTTTCTATATAACCCTTCAAACCCTGAGCCCAGGGAGCCCCAGGGATTTTTAATTATAGCCCAGAAATGCGGCCCACCAGCCCCAAGTCCACAAAGCATCTCTCCGGCCCCGGGCTCTGTAATTCCTTATGTGTGCGAGGCGTCCCCTCCGGCGCAAAGGACCTGCGACTTGTGGGGCTTTGCTAAACCCTAAACCCTAAAGTTCAGAGCTTTGCGTCGGTTCGCAATAATGGTACCTGGTTTTGGTAGCGGTTATGGTTCAGGCCGAACTTTTGAAGGACGAC